AGCGCTTTTCTTAATTTTGTTTTTTTTTGCTCATCCTAAATGTATGCAATTTTTTGAAATATATCTTAATAAAAATAATTCAAATATGTAGGTAGCTAGTACATTACTTTCTACTTACTCAATTGTTTAAAGGAAAAGTACTATTTTACAAAACATTATGGTTCGATCCGACTCCATTATATAAGAATACTGAATTTGGTATTATACCAAAACTTAATATTGAAACACATATTTGCTATAGAAAAGAAAATGAAATAAAAAAAAAATGATTATAGCTATATGAAAATAACATAGCTTTTATGATTCTCAATTTTTTTCTTATTATTTTATTTTTTTAAATATATTTGGCAAAAATCCATGTACTTACCTTTTTCATGTACCTATCTACATGTTATATAAATAATTTTCTTTATGTCTAGCTTTTATCTAAAGGACACTATAACCTGATATGTTTATTTAAATATTATCTGTGTATGTTTATGGTGCAAAAGTATTCAGTTCTACTACTTCGGACAAGTAAAATACCATAATGTTAACACCTATATAATTTGTGTATATACCGCTGACATGAAATTTATGCAGTGTGAAAATAATGAAATGTTTTATAATTACTTGAAATTAATTAAGAAAATTCTTATTTAACTTCTTATGAGATACGAGATCGATAACCTTTGTGTTGTGTAGCAAGTCAATTATTACATGACTTTATGAGCATGACTATTCTAAGTACTTTATATTGAAATAAGAAATTTACATAATAAAGGTGAAATCTAAATACCACCGCAATATCAAATATTAATTTTAATCGTTGTAAATTGGACATAGGCCTATTTTTTTCGTTATCATGAATAATATCACGCAACGCAATACGTACCTGCAATTAATGTTGCGAATTTTCCTGTCTAATTTAATAAACTTTTACTCACATATAATCGAAAAAGTTTTTTCATTTTTACAGGGTTGATAAATGTTAGATTTAAGTGAACCCGCGAAATTATTCGTGTCAAGAATTAGTTTTCACTGTTTTTTTATACTCGTAATGATTAAGTTACCGTTTCAGTTAGCAAAGAAATTTTTGTAACCTGATACACTAAGCAAAGCAATTTCTTGTTTTTTTCTTAACAGCTTTCTCTTAAAACTTTTTGTAACCTTGTTTTTATTTTCAAAATTAAAAAACTCAAAAATATTCAAAAGCGCAAAATTTAGCAAAATATGAACACGACTCGTTACAAATTTTTATTATATTAAGAACCCCTTCAACATATTGAATAAAAATTTTTTTCTGTGAAACACAACATTAATTTCACTCTGCTACAATATTTTAATCCATAATAGATACAAAAGTATTTTACTTGGTGGACAAATATATATGCATACGTATATATATGTTATGTATATTTTGTTTTTAGTAAAGATGTTAGAGTGTATTTTTTTTCTATAATAACAATGAATATTGTTATTTTTGGAACATGTCCAAAATAATATTTTATGCTTTCAAGTAGCCATACTTTATACGGCTACTTTTAATATTGTACATAGATTGTATAATAAACAACACTGCAACATAAGTAATAGTAATGATATTGTATACATGTATTGCATATAGTAATAATTCACCTGAAATATAAGGGAATATTTTGAAATATATATGCATACCTATATCATGTATAGTAAAATAAGGTGTTACTGACCTTATATGTTGGTTTTTTGTATTTTATGTTTTAAAAGGAGCCATTTTTTATTGCTATTTTTTCTATGAGTACGGTTAAGTATGTATGTATGTGCTTTGATTTAATATATGCAATATTTTGCTCTTACCTAAAGGTTAACAACACGAAATAATTACACTTATTCAATAAAAAAAATGTTTCTACAACCAAATCGATACTTCTTATTAAAACATAATCGAATATGATCGAAAAAATTTCCGAATTTTTAAAATTTGCAACATACTGAAATACCATTGTCTATGGCTGTCTTTACATAGGATCTATTTTACATTAGCCGTCTCTTACTTAAATTGAAATTAATATTACTTCTAAAAGATTCCACTTAAACCATATAGGTTCTCTTTTATCTCACAGACAGAAGCGACTTCTGCTCGATAATGAAGCCTTGGTCCCAATTTCCTAATCACATTTTTTTTTGCCTTGTCTACCAAGTGAAAAGTAAAATTGAGAATTCTCTTTCGACGAATGAAAAGACTGACGAATGAATTGCTGGAACCAGAAGAAATAACTGCGTAGCATGACAAATTTGAAGAATAATTTTTTGAAATAAGCTAGAGAGAAAATGCATTAACAGTATTTCCATTTAGAAAGAAAGATGTTACGGATAAAAGAATTTCAATAGTTTTTATATATCTGGAACCTTGCCACAGCAATTCTTGATAAAACTCATGCAAAACATTATTACCTTTTGTTTCTATGAAATGCTATATTTACCAAATTTCAGTATATTTTTACATACAGTCCACTAGATTGGCTAGTTTGGAAATATATTTGTAATTTATGAACATTTTGAACACACTGCTTTTGCAAAATGATATTTACGAGCGGCGTATTATTTGCGACCTGCGATTGTAAATATAATATTATGTAGTGGATTGTTTTAGGAGTTTTTCAGTGGGTGTCTCTATTACTCATGTTAATGTATATACTTGCACTTTCAAATTTATTGCATTCAATATTAATTGAAAAAATTTTTAATTATAATATTAAGACGTTCTGTTTAATTTGTTTTGATGGCTATGGGCAAAGAATCCCAAAAATATTCTGCTTGCAACGTAACGTTTCCATTGTACAAAAGTTGCCTATATCATTTGCAGTATTTTTAACTAAAATTATGATTAATTTGAATGAAATTTTAATTTAAAGGAAGAACGGGCAAAAAAAAAACTAAAAATCATTCTTTGACCTAACAATTTCGAAATTAAATGTTAATGTTTCCCTTTCTTTTTTTTCTGAACTTTTTATTTTAATTTGGGGAGACATTTAAAAAAAAATTTTGACATTTTTGGTGGAACTTTTGTAATAATAAAAATTTTTTTTATCATATGATTTTCTTTTTTAATACCATTTCATTTTTTATTACAATAAATTTTTAACCGCAATTTATTATTTTTAATGGTAAATTACTTATGGCCATGTGACTTTCCTTTTTATGTGTCATTCAATTTTCTGCTCTTTCTCATATTACTCTTTTGGTTTCATGGTGTCATTGTTGTCAAAATAAATGTTTTATTTGTTTTTTTTTTATTATCCAAAAAAATAAAATTTAATCTCGACATAATATTCCTTTTATTTTCAAATTATATAAAATTTAATTTTACACTTTTACCATAACTGTTTTTAATTTCATATTTTGAGCAAATGCTTATTTTGAAAATGAGGAAAATGAAATATGACTGTCTCGTCCCTCTTAAATTTTACTTAACATCTATAATTTTATCTTAATATGTAAAACGATATACATATGTATGTAAATGTTCGAAATCAACACGACTAAGATACCACAGAAGGGCAACATTTTGCATTATCAATACGCACACGATTCCATGTATTCATCTTCACGTTACGTTCATCGTTAAATATAAAATTTTCTCAATTTATGTACAATCGCAGTTTGCTTGTCATTTTACCACTCAGTAACATCAGCGAAGGAATATTTTTGAAGTTTATAAGTATTCATCTAGTAAAATAATATTGACCATTGTCAGTATAATTGTCAGCTTAATGTGACAAAATTTCACATTATAGTTCCAGTTAAAGTAAACAAATTGCACAAGTAGAGCACATGTAGAAAACTGTTCTAATCGCAACCGCATGTTTTAATGAAGATATCAAGTTGTCCATTCGTTGCTTTTAACGGTATAATTAGGTAATATAATAGAGAAAATCTTATGGGTTTTGGCCTTAAGGCATACAAAATACAGATTATGAAAATTTAAGTTGGCAAATGTACCCTCGTATCGTGGATATTTTTACCGTAATCGTGGATAACATACCGTAATCTTAATTTTTTTTTATGAACGGAAGGAGCTCATTTCTCATTGATGAACAAGTTGTTGATTATTTTAAAATTTTTACAATATTCAAGAACTGAGCCTGTCCGTTATACGACGCTATATTCCACACATCACTTATAGACTTACTGAACAATAATATATTCAGTTAGAAGTAAATTTTACATATTTGACATAACATGTTTAATATATCCTTAATTTTAAATATAATAACGTCTACACTATAAATTATTTTTGAATTACTTCTTAAATTAATTTCAATAATAATAATATAACCAGGTTCCGAAAACTTTTAATATTTTCTGTATGCATTCATTATGTTTAAGGTGTTTCCATTATTCTAATATTTTTTACTTCTGTCATTCTAGCCGTCATATCTTTACATTATCTATAATAATTGTACATAATTTTAAATATTTATGTATTTTATTCTTTATTATCATAAACATATATACATAGCACTTTATATAATCAAATTATATGTATGTATATTCAATAGTTATTCAAATATATATTATACTACATACTTACTTACATAATACAATATAATTTTTATATGTAAATCGCCATTTTATTTCAAATGTCATTGTTTGATGTTTCATGTTCACCGTTTCTGTCATGTTTATCTAATTATTTTCCTTTTTGTCAATTTCAAAATTTTTGCATTGTTGCATTTTTGTTTTTGTTTTTTTTTCATTTCATTTTTTCCTTTTTTAATTTTTTCATTTCATATAATGAAATTTTTTTCTCATATTCCATGTTCCATGTTTATTAAAATCATTACTATAATATTAATTTTTTATTTACTGCTTATTCTTATGCTTTCTTTTTTTAAACCATTGTCAAGTTTTTAAATCCCTTTAAAAAAAAAAAAAAAAACTCAAAAAAAAAAAAAAAAAACAAATCCATAAATTTTATTTTAATTTTTATTATTTTTTTTCTATTCTGTTTTTTTTTTCTCAAATTTTTTTTTCAGTTGCGAACAACAGAATCTGGCTATACATTAAATCGTAGTAATGATACACTTGACACGAATGCAACCGATTTAGATGGGGTTGCTAACGGTAACGGTAATAATGAAAAATAATTTTTTTTTTTGTTTCTTGTTTTGCATAATAAATTATAATTATCCTAATAAATTCAGCTGGTTTAAATAGCGGAAAAATAATGGCCAATCATTGTACTGGTGGTAGTGGAGGCGGTGGTGTTGCCATAAATAATGCTAATAATAATAATTGTGGGGCAAATGGATCCGTAATAACAATGACTTTGAAAAACAACCATCTAATTGTTGAAACCGAAGAAAGGAACGTAAGTTCACACAAAAAAAAAAAAATCCAAAATAAAAACATAGCCGTTTGTTTACCGCTTTTTTTTTGTTCTTTTCGAAAAGTGGCTTTATTAATTTATCAAAAAAAAAGTTTAATACTTTACCATTTTTATTCGGTGCACTCTAGAGTTAAAAAGGTTTAATCAGATTTTTTAAACAAAAAATTATATTTGGTTGATTTTTTTTTTTTGTAAAATTTCTATTGTATGACCTTTTTCTCTGCAAAAATACACAAAATATGGAACGGATCCCTGGAACACGTTATAAAATCTGAGAACGTTTTTGAAGAGTCTCTTTTCAAACAATTCACTGAACAAAAGTATTCAATTCGATATTTTCTAAAAGTGTTATAATATTTGATAAAAGTAGGGAGTCCATATTTGCTAAAGAGGAATATTTGTAAACGTGAACCGAAATCTCTTATTAACATTAAAAATAATGGAACTTATTTGCTGAAATGAAAAATAAGCATCCTTCAAATGAACGTGTCAACAACTAAGGCAGTAGTAAATGGACGGACGCGATTAAATCGACTAATAATTCGATCCTGAACAAGAATAGATATACTGTATGGGTTCGACAATTCCTGGTGTTACATATTGAATATGCCTCCGCATGATATTTAAGCGGATATAAAAAAGTCAAATTAAAGAGGCAACATTGAACTTTAATCAATCCTTAAAAACTAATACTAAAACTTTCGTAAAATTATTTTTCATGAAAAATAAAATTCCAAATTTTATTCCAAGAAAAGTAAAAAATCTGAACTTGATAAGTGAATTTAAAAATTTTCTAAATGAAGCGAAAAATTGACGTACTAATTTTTGTCTTAATTTTTTTTTTTAAATGAAAGCTCAAAACTTTTAAGACCACATCAAAGTAAAATTAAATGAATCTACTGATTCTTACCCAAAATCCTGGAATTTTAAAGAAAAAACAAAATTTTACAATCTACACACAAAATTTCTTTTTTTAACTTTTTTTTCTGTTTTTGCTATCCTTACTTTAATAAATAATTTATTGATTCCGAAAATAAGGAGAACACAAAAAAGAAAAAAAAAAGATGGTTTAATAGGAAGCACATTTCCTAATCGCTACTTAAACTGGCTCCCTTAATCAAAAAAGAAGATCTTAGCAATCGTCCTAACTGCCTAGCTATTTAAAATTTTGCATATTTTTAGGGGTTAACAATATTTTCGTTTCACTAATGAAATACCTACTACTCATCACTATTGCTCTGCTGGAACAATCCTATAAAAACTAGCGTTGTAGCAACCATTGTAGGTACTAAAATTCAATTATTTTTATTAGTCTAAAATCTTAGAAAATAAAATTGGATTACGGTACATATTGACAAAAGGACGATCGTTTTGCATAAAAGCAAATTTTATTTTGGAAAATTGTTTCAAAATTGAAATAAAATTAAATCAATCAAAATGAAAGAATTCCTTGAAATTTAATTTAAAATTATAAACATTAAGGAATTCTTCTGTTTCTCTAACCATTTAGTTTGTACCATTTTTCATTTTCTCTCATACAATTAAGAATATTATGTTGTACTAAATATGTATGCCAAATTTTAATCAAATGAAATAGAGTGAAATAAAAATATAGACCGTACGTTCGTGTGGAATCGTTTTATACATATTTTTACATTAACTTGAGTATAATTTTCGAATATGTTTTAGTCGTCACTAGTATTCGACTAAATATTAGTAATTTAAGGATTTAACTGTCATAAGCTACCGAAAAATCTTAATAAAAAGTAGATTTAACTGAACTAGAAAATATCGTAATACAAAAATTTGAAGTCAAAATCACTTATCTAGTGTAAGATTAGTAAACATCGCAATCTCTTCCATAGATACCGTGCAAATTGAATAAACTAAATAAGTTCAAAACGTGTCCATACCTTATGAAGTGTAATATGGCAAAATATTCTTATTTATAGAGTAACAACAATATTTACTCATTTTTTAAGAGAAAACTAAAAAATAAATAAATTATTTTTTATTTTTCATTTATAAAAATTGGGAATAACATTTTCAATCGATTTTGATTCCTCCACTTTTTTATCAATTTGAAACCAACAGTTTTTGTTTTTGTAAAATTTTTGATAAATGATTTCCCAGAATATTTCATTTTACCAAAATTGCAAATTTAATGAAATTCAATTTCCACTTGAAATTGTAGAATCCTATTCAATAATAAAAAGAATTGAAATAGAAGAGCTGTGCTATTTTTTGTCTTACATTTGATATTAAAAACTGACACAAAATTTAATTTGGTTTTCTTGCTTCTGCATAGTCTTCTGAGATCTTAATTTATCTGAAATTTTTGAAATTTTGATTGACAAAAAAAATTTCATTCTCTTTCTAGTTATAAATTTCAGATATTAAAGAAAAATTAAAAACGGGATTCTCTTGATAATGAAAATTTCCTTGAAATGATTTGATATTCAGTTAAATAAATTTAAGAACAATATAGAAGCTACATAGTGCATTAGTGCATACGATACAGGCAATATTCTTTTAAATAAAGAAAAAAAAAATTTAATTCAGAGAAATCAAACAGTGTTTTTCAATATTTACTTTTGTGCAAAATTGAATTTTATTGCAAAAAGCAAATGAGTATATTGCAGAAAGACAACATTTCGTTCCACCGAATTCATCAAAATTCTTCGATTTTCACCTGTTTCCCATGCAGGTTTTAAGTGTTTTATTAAGGAATCTCAGATGGGTACTACAATTTTTCCATTCTTATAAAATTAATATTGTATTTGCTTTCCAGAACTAGGTCTTTTAATGCTCTAGCGTATTTATAGCAAATTTTCTGCTATAAAATTTTTACAATCATGGTGAATATACAATATAATCAAATATGTCTATAACTTAATATATAATGCATATAACTAAAAATTTTTGGATAATGAAGCTGATCCTGTATGCGGTGTTCACATTTACCCTACGTTATCACGTTATAAAATCTTAAATTCGTTCATTCTGTAAAAAATACCATTATAAAATTTGAATAATTTTCAAAGCATATTGTGCAAACATTGGTTCGTATACATTGGCATACTATTATGTTGAGGATCATAAGTAATCATTTAAAATGGATACATTGAAAATGTCTGTGGAATTTGCAAATCATTAGAATGCCCATAAACATTTTCCCGTCATTCAATTTTAAAATGTGTTAATCATTGCAAATGTGATTGACAAACCATGAAAAATTTTAAAATTATCATGCAAGATTGCAGAAAAAAATTAAAACGTAATTTTTTTTCACAAAAAAAAAAAATCATTTCCTCAATTGGCTTGCATTTTGCTCTTTTATTGCTCTGCAATGATGTTTTTTTTTTTTGCCTCTTCCATTTTATTCTAAATTATCTTTTTATAAACCATAATTGAACAGAAAAATGTTTTTTTTTGCAAATAAGCAAAAATTTCTAAAAGCTGATGAGCTCCTTAATCTCTCTTTCCCTCCTCATCTGCCTCCTTTTCTTTTTTTTTCTTAATAAAATGTTTTGTCTCCTTCCTATTGCAAAAGTGTAAAAATAGCCGTCAGCACAATTTTTTTCACCCTTTGTTTTCCTTTTTTTCGTTTTTCATTTTCTTTTTTAAATTTGAGTGAGTCTCGATTCCACAATATCCTTTAGACAAAAGAAATTTTCTTTCATTTTTAATGTGTCTGTAATTAATAAAATAGTTTTGATATCCTTTTTAGTTTGCGTCCTTTAAATAGAAAAAGGAAAGAACAAAAAAAAGACAAAAGTTTTTTTTTTTTTTTTGTTTTTCATTAAAAAGGTCACATAAAAACTACAACCAGAAAATTAGTTTTGTCTAGAATAGTCTATAGTCGGCATTTTCTCTACAAGAATTTTTCTTACGTAATATGTAGCAGAGAAAGAGAGAAGGAAGTATTGAAAAGTTTGATGAAAATTTAAATATAAAAATAATTTATGGTTTTTACAGCTTGTTTTAAAGGAAAAAGCTTTAGAACTATTTTAGCAGTGGATAATTTTCTCTTAGTGCTTTTGAAATTGGTTTTAGATACGAAAGAAATAAAAGTTCATATATCATGCTAGTTTTTAAATCAAATAAAATATTTTTGCCCACAGAGAGCCTACTATCCTACTGGGATGCTATTTAAATATTCGAGATGTATAAAAAGAGCGCAAGATTGTGCCTAAGATACTGTGTAAATATGTGCTAGATTCCTGTGTAACACACTTGGCTTTAGCAAACTCCGTCTTATACTTAACTATTCAACAATATCCTAAATACGGATATTAAGTACCCTAAATAGGAATATTTAGGGTATGAATTGATTGAAAAATTTTCAGGATTTGAATTATTGGAACAAGCTACACTTATGTCCACAAATAAGATCATGTTTATTTTCCTGTATTCTTCAAAGAAATGTATGTGGCCTGTGCCGAACCTTGTTGAATGTATATTAAATATTTTGGACTATTCAAAGGAACTATTGTATTTTTAATTTTAAATTCAAAATATACCCCATTGGAAGACATGAATAATTCCTAATTCAAACATTCATACATTGACGTAGATATTAATTCATGAGTAGCACTAAAAAGCTTGGCTATTCGATTAAAATTATATATTTTATTTTAGTTACCACCACATTTTCATACTATAAAGTATTTTAACTTATAAATTGCAATATAACGCTAAAAAAATTTTACACCTTTCCCATTTAATAATTTAAAAGTTCACTTTATAGCGAATTATCAAGTCATTAAACATAAGAAAGCATTCACTAATAACATTCAAAATGTCAACTAAAATTTGCTTAACAAAATTTTTTGTTTTTTAAATTCACATATTCACCATCAAATGCAAGAAAAATTTTTTTATTATTAAAAAAATTATTTGCTTTGCTTTAAAACAAAAAAATATTTTTTTTTATTCTATAAAGGTGAAAAATATTTTGTAAAGGTGCCAAAAAAAAACTTATTGTTAATATATTTTTCTTCTATATTCTAGGACATTTCTCGTGATGCACGTGAAACAAAAATGCATTATAATTCATCAGATAAAGATGGTGTATTTGTTGTTGAAGTTGCTAGAGGTGCTGATACAACCGGTGTACCAAATAGTCCATATAAAGAAAATCATATTGGACAAAAAGCATGTTCACTTGATGGTGATAAATCAAAGCCATCACCAAAAAATCATGAAGAAGTTCAAATACATCAACCACCATCAGATAATTTTGATAATGATAATCCACCAATTGCAAAATCAGCAACAATATCTGAATTAGATGAAGCAAATTTTGAATTAGAAGAACGTGGTATAAATATTGGTATTTCAAAAACTGGACTATCACAATCTGATTTAAGTTCATCGTCAAATGATTCAAATAAGGGATATAATTATGGTAAACAAGAATTATATACAGCTGAAGCAAAAGTATATAATCCAACATCACCAAAACAAAAAGTATCATCGGATAGTTTAGATTCAATAAAAGATAAATCAGAAAATGATTTTGGTGATAATTGTGACACTGAAACATCACCATGTTCACGAGAATGTTCTAATGATTCCGATAATGGTAAACATACCACAAATAAAGGATCTGAAAAATTTACAGGAAATCAAAAAAATTCCGGTAAAAATTACAAGAGTAATGATACTGAATGCAATACCGATAATATTGAAAAAGAAATTACAAATAATAGTGATGAAAAAATTGATACTATAAAACTGAATGAAGAAAAAAATGATATTGAAAACAAGGAAAATAGTGTAAATTTAGAAAATGATAACAATAAAAAAGAGGACAAATCTAAACAAGAAGAAGATAAAGATGTAAAAAAATCTAATCAAATTGATAACGAATCAATAAAAAATCCAGAAAATGAAACAGAAAATCTAACAACAACTAAAAATAATACTGAAACAATTGAAACAAATGAATCTTTACCACCGCCACCACCTCAATTTAATAATGATAAGACTTCTTCATCACCTACCACCGCCATTTTTACCAACAGTAATAAAGATGAAGATGAATATAAAGAGAAATCTAAAGATGAAACCAATAATAGATATAACGAAAATGACATTAAAAATAGTTCAAAAACATCAGCAACAGAATCTGAAATAGTCAAATTAGAAAATGATAAAAAATTAGACAAAGAAGAGGATGAAAATATAAAAGGAGAAAAAACAGGAAAAAAAATAATTCATCAAGAAAATGGACTTGATGACCATCAACATCATCAACAACATAACAATAATAATAACAGTAATAATACAACTTTAACAAATGGACATTACGAAAAACAAAATGGAATAATTCACAATCATGATAATGATAGTGATAATGATATTGATTTAAATAGTAATAAAGATGAAACTATAATTTTAAATGATGATAAAAAAATGAATGGTAATATAAATGATAATAATACAGATACAGATAGAACAATTATATTATCATCAAATGGAGTCGGTCATGAAAATGGTTTTGATAGTATATTAAGTTTACCAGATCCGCCATCAACAGAAGAAATAATACAAATGAATGACATTATATTAATGGAAAATTCACAATTGGATTCATTACCACCACCACCACCATTAGATACAATAAATAATTTAACAACATCAACAACAACAACAACAATAATACCAGCTACAACAACTGGTGATTTAATAGGAAATTGTAATAATGAAGAAATAATGAAAAATTCTATTAATAGCGATAATTGTGGAATTGATACCAATAATTTAAATGATATTAAAAATTTATTAAATGGTGATCATCATAATAATATTATTGATGAACACAAACAACAGATACATCAAAATGGTATTGGTGGTACACAAAATGGTACAACAGCTACATTAGTTGCTGTTAATGGTTCAAGTTAATGCCAAAATATTAATGGTTAATTTATTAATTAAATAAAAAAAAATTAAAAAAAAAAATAAAATAAAAAAAAATTAAATTAATTTAATTTATAATTAATTATAATATATTTTATTAATAATTAAATATATAAATATAATTTAAAAAAAAAAAATTAAAAAAAAAAAAAAAAAGAAAACCAACAAATGTGTGATGTGACAAGTTAATATAAAAACTAAGAAACTATAAAAATGAATATTAAATTTTTAAGAAAAAAATTAATAAAATTAATTAAAATACAAAAAGAAAAATTATTGTAATCTATAAAAAAAAAAATTATACGAAAAAAATTATAGAAAAAAAAAATTAAAAAAAAAAAATATTAGAAAAATTAAAAAAATTAATTTGGTTTTTAAATTGAATTGTAAACATAATTTTTTTTACTACAATTGATTTTTGATTAACAGCACTTTTTATTTAACCCACTTCTTCCCACTGTACTAAATACTGGTAAAGACTTTTAAGTTACATTGAATAATTTTGCTTTTTGCACACTTTTTTAAAGCAATTTTATCCGACGTAATTTTCTATTACGTGTCAATATTGGTACATTGGGAAAAGTGGGTTAATTTTTTGTTTTGTTTTTGGAAATATTATTCAAAATCAATGTTTTAAATATGAATGCGATATTATGATTGAGGTTTTGATCAGTTAAAAGTCATTGTTAATCTCGTGACTATTATCAACACAGCAATAAAATAAATTTTATAATAAATAAGAAAAAAACATCAAGTTTGAAATTCACATATTAATTGAAAATAAATTTCTCTGAATTAAGAAACCTAAATGTATGTACATATGAGGCCGAAAATTAAATGAAACACCACAAGTAACTCTAAAAAAAAAATATTTATTCCAGGTAATTTCACTACAATATTATCTCATTTATTGTAAGGATTAATATATTTTTTCAAATTAATATCCCTACAATATTTTCTCATTCTCAATTTCTCAAATACTCTTTTACCTAGTGGCCAAAATAAGAAAATTGAAGTTCAAAGAGAAACTACATCTCATGTTTATGAACGAAAGAGGAAAATCCATGAAAAATTGTGTTTAAAATTTCAGTCCTCTAAACAGTTACGACTAATGTAAAATTGCAATTAACCCTTTACGGACTTTATGGTGTTATAATCGATTTTGGTAATTTAATTTCGTATCATTAGTCGTACCAATAAAAATTTTTTTCAAAGATTTGCTAATAAAATAATAACCTCAATCATGTAGTATAAAAATTATTTAAAATATATTTTCCAAACATAAAAACAAAAAAAGAAGCCATAAAAGCAAAATCAAAAAAATTTCACATTTTTATGAATTATAAAATATTTTTCACTTTAATTCAAATGTTCAATAATTTTATTTTGGTAAAGATTTAATAATAATTAAATTATAACTGAAAAAAATATACCGAAAATAGAAATTAACAAACAGAATTAAAAAAAAAAAAAACAAAAAATATTACCAATTATAAAATAAAAATATTGTAATAAAATTAAATTAAACCAATAATTCATTGATAAACTCTGTAGGAAAATAGAAAATGAAAATAGAAAATAAAAATTATAATTCTTTTGTTTTTCGAATTCAAATACAAAATAAAAAAATCCTAACCTCAACTTTTCAAAATAACAAATTTAAAAAAAATAAAAATTGAATATTTTCTACATAAAATTTTTCGAAATAACAAAATTAAAATATTATATAATAATTACCACAAAAATATGTACAATAAAAATAACTATACTCATATACATAATATATGTATATACACATTTACTTGTATACATACACATACATAATTTTATTATTATATCATAATAGGTAGGTAAATTATATAACAATATATTCGTGAATCTATTGACACATAAAATATAATATAATTTGTGTTATACTGGTATATTACGAGAATTATTGTTTTTTATGTAAATTATTAAAAAAAAAATAAAATTTTGAATGAAACTGTTTGATCCTTTCACAGTATTTAACAATATTTCAATTGAATTTTTAATCACCGTGTAAAAGTATATGTAGAAAATAATCTTAAACTGCTGTAATTTTCAATTTTTCAAGATTCTAAAACTTCAATTGTCTTTTCTATGGAAATTAACACCCAATTAACAGAGAAAGATATACTATTACATATGGTAAGAATAGACTTATTAATCGGATTTTCTTTAAATAACGATTTCCAACGGTTGCGCATTATTCGAAACCATATTGTGCTGCAATTACACTAACTTAGATAATTTTTGAAATAATATTCTGTACAATTTAAAAGTGAGTAAGGTGGAATTTAAAAAAAAAAGTAAAGGTTTATTCCCGATTTCAAAGACAATGTAAAGGTATTAGATTTTTGTTATAATTAAAAGCAGGTAATTTAATTTTTGTATACTGGTTTTAATACCGCAAAATATTATGATTTTTGCTTTTAAATAATCATTATTCATTGGACACATACAATTTATAAACATGTCATTTTTAATTTCTGGCAATTCCTGTTCAATTCCAATTGCTCAGACAAAAAATGATTCTTATGTATCGATCGACGTACTCGTATGTATGTATAATAATATGAATTCTTATTTTAAATAAAATGTATAACAGAATTTTTTTCATAATAGTATATATAACATCAGAAATATCTGACTAATATTCTTTTAACAAATTTTTTTTTAATGTTCGCGTTCCATATACTCAATAAATTATTATCATCGCATCATTATATAATCGTATAGAAATTTAATTATATTATAATTATTTTCTTAATAATTTGAATTATTATTGCACGATAAATGTAAATGTAAAATTAAGATTTCAAAATCCTTTAAGACGAATATTCAAAGTCCTTTCTGTACAAATATGTATAGAAAATCTTTCATATACATATATCAAAAATTTATAATGTTAAATTGTGCAGCCAAGATTTATGCAATTTACCATTAAGCATCATTGCATGAAATTTTTAACGCTATATTGTTAAAATCAATTGTTATAATATTATTCGGACTTAATTTATATTATAAATTATTATACCTATATACCGTAATATAATAAGTAGCGACAAATGAAAAATTAACATTTTTTCCACATTTTTAATTCGCTTTTCTTTTACATCATTTGCTACACTGAATTTATAATTATCATGTTTTTTAATTACGTTATACATAATAAATATACCCACAAATATATAAATACTGTGCAAAATATAATATGAATATGTTTATTTAATTTACAATAAAAAATATTTTCCATATAATTATCTCGGAAATACAATATTGAAAATAAAATATTTAAAATATTTAAAAAAAAAAACAAAAGTATATAGCTATAGCTAGATAGCTTGTTAGCTGGCAATGTAAATAGCTATCATAAAAATAAAATTTTTTATTTAACAATCAATTTCTATGTGCATATTTATAGGAGTAAAATATGTATATCTTTTTATAATATTACAATAAAAGAGAACTTGCAAACAGAATTTGTATGTGTAAAAATATATATACAAATATATACATATCTGCAAATACGATATGCGATTATAAGAATACCAGAAAATATTTTATGTGAGCGATAAGCAGAAATACTTCGACAAAATGAACTCCAATTTATATAAGTTCGTAATTACTCTGTCGTATGTATGTATTTGTTAAACCAGTTACAAGTTTTTTTTACAGTTATGCACTGTACCTTAGATAGATATGTAAAATTACAAACGATAATATGTTCAGTCTACAAGAAATCTCTCAAAAGAACAAGAAAATATTTAATAACCACTATGAAATACTCGTAAGCAAAAATAAAATCAAAACTCAGTTTTTCTCTTATAATTTACAGTTAAAGAATAACCATATTATTCAAATCTAATTACTGTTCTAAAGCTTTATACTCAGTTTGCATTTTACTCTTTTGTTTTTAGTAATTATTATCGGGGCGGTATTTGCTTTTCGCTCTATTGAGATTTCTACTAGATTTCTATATAAAACTTATCTGTCAACATTTAAAGTATAGCTACAATTACTCGCATTTATCAAATTATTAATACGTTCGCTTAATATTATTGAGCAGTTTAATATAGAGAGGTTTTACTGTATATACAAACAAATATAACAATGCAAAATAAATACCGAATAATTTAAGAAAGAAAAATAAAAGTAATCGAAATAAAAATTCAAACAAAAAAACATTATTTTTGCCAATTAAAATATTTAATAATTTGATCCCAATATAACAATAAAAAATTATGTGTTAAATTTTATTAATAAAATATTACGTACAAGGATTTTATACACACTTTTTTAAACAAGCATACATAATTCATTTTTCACACATATTTTTGCATATCTTTTCAAAAATCCTTCCATCGTGAATTTATATTTGCATATAGTCATAAATATATTTCACGTTATATAAAATTAATGCATACATATGTACAATATGTTGCTTTATTATTATTTATATAGGTTATTTAAATTAACCAACAAAATTTAATTATATTTTTATATTTGTATGACTTTAAATTTTCATGAATTGCAAATAATAATATGAATTTCGAATATTGATAAAATCCAATATTTTATACAAAGATTAAAAAAAAAATTTATTAATTGCTTAGGGTTTGCAAATATTATTGAAGAGTATTCGAGTATTAATATTTGGAGTTAAGGTAATGGCCACCATTAATAATGTTTTAGGTATTTACAATAGTATCTATAATTAATGAAAGTGTGACCTAATTCTTGTATAAGGGAATTGTGTCATACGTTAAAATTTTTTAGTAATTTATTTTTTGTATTTGCATTTCAATTTTTTTTTAAATAAAGTGTATAGGTAATGAGAGAATCAATTTAATTTTATTTTGAGAAATTCATTACAATTTTATTCTTAAAACAACTTTAATCGCTTTTTATTATTTTAAAAATCAAAAATTGACAATCCTTAAAATATTTATTTTTAATTATATTAATATTTCCTTAGCTTGCATAAGGTTATAGAATCCATAATTAATAAGGTGATAGAGTCAAAGACAAGCATATTGGAAATCCGAGATAACAATATTGAAAGACATTGATATAAATTATATTCAAACCAGTTAAAAAGTATTGTCTAATTCAGGGCTATTACTTAATAATTACCAATAAATTTATTTCAAAAATTCCTTATTGAAAAATAGGCATATAGATGACTTGTCCAATAGTTGCAATTATTGCTCTTTACTGTAATATTTTTCGAGACTATGCGAAGCCTGTATTAACCTATTATTTCTTTATTAACCTATTCCTGAATTAATAATATCAATAACGAATATAATAACTTCTAAAAAACTAGGACATAATAATTATTATGACATAAAATTTAATATGGCTCTCTCTACTATTGTGTGAATACACAAAAAATACCCGTAATTGCGTATATGTCAATTCGAATTTTGCAATAATATTGTCAAGCATTTTGTAATTTTTAAAATTTATTCCTGATTACTATTTATATAATACAGAAATCACTCTGAATTCAAAATAGGTAAGCCAGAGAAAAAAATACAAAAAAATTAAAAAATTAAAAATGAGATTTCCTGATGTCATGAGAATAACAATAATTTATTGTTCAAATTAAATAAATGAAAAAAACAAAAATTGAAATAAATTAAAATTATATATGTATAACCATTCATGATTATAAATTTAAGCAGCACATATGAATATACGTAATATATATACGCCATCAATTAATCTACACATAACTTAAAAAATTAAAAACAGGAAATTAAATTGATATATAAAAATTTGTTAATAAAACTCCAAGGATATAATTTGTACATTAATGAAAAAAAGAAATTGTAATGTACTTATATACATATCTACATACATATGTATGTATGTATGACGACATATGAGAAATTATTTTAATAAAAAAATTTCTCTATATAATTAAGAGGGTCTCATAATAATGCATCGCATATTAAATTTTACTACATCGGATTCACATTTAACATACATGTATATGAATTTACTTAATTAATACATGATATCACAATTACATATATTTCAACATTGAAATTTCCAGGAAAATTCCAATTATTATATTAAAATCCTTTTTCTGTAGCTATTTCTGTAGTTGTAAATTTTCATATTGCACACAAAATGAAAGTCAAAATATTGTGCAAAAAAAATTCTTATTAAAAATGTAAATTTAATACAAAATTATCTAGGGTAAGAAAAAATTAATCGCGAAAAAAAAAAAATAAAATTGAAGGAAATAATATAATTGGTGTATTAAATACAAAGATACAAACATACAAACAATCGAACAATAACGAACAATATTTATACTATCAGGGATTGATGCGCGATTTATGTATATTGTGTGCATTTATATGTGTACATATTGTATAAAATAAATATTAAATATTTATTATGTACATATGGTATGTTTTTTTTTTGTATATCAATTATTTTTAAGGGATAAAAAACTTAAAAAAATATGCATTTTTTATTTCATTAAAGCGTAATGCATAATAAATATTTTTCACTGGAATTTTTTATGACCATATAATATAGGAACATTAAATAGGATGTAATATTTAAATAATATGAATGAATTCGAATAATCCTAAAGGTTAATATTATAATAATTAAATTTTTTCATATAATATTTAAATATTTTCGAATAATATAGAAATTTCTAATTATTTTCAGAATAGCTGGCAGGATATCCGAATATTTTTCA